GGGAAGTAGCAAATATAAGCCCTCTATTCAAGAAGGGAGTGAGGCAGAAAACATGTCTGACAGGGAATATCCTAGAGTTGATAACAGATTATAGCTGTGCATTTAAAGAAACTCAATTTCCTTCGATGAAATCATGGTTCTTTCTGAGTAGGTATATTTAACAAATTTATTGGAGTCCTTTAAAAGCAGTTGCATGTGCTATGTATGAGGGGAGCTTGTAGACATACTGTACTGGGATTTCCAGAAGGCATTTGATAAGGTGCCAGATCAAAGTTAATTGCGGAAAATAAAAGCTTATGCACAGAAGTTGCATAACTGGATATGTTTCTTATTGTCAGAATGTGTTAAGTAGAGTCTTGCAGGAGTCTATGTTGGGGTCCCAGCTCTTTGCAATTTACATCAGAGACTTGGATGAGCACAATGAAGGCATGATGGCTAAATTTGCAAGGAACACAAAGATAAGAAAGTGAAGAAGACCATGAAGTTGCAGATGGATATGGATCCATTGAGTGAGTGGGTAAAACTTTGGCAGATGGAGTATCATGTAGGAAATTGTGCAATTGGTCACTTTGGCAGGAAGAATGAAAAAGCAGGGTATTACTTAAACGGAAAATTACTGCAGTATTCTGAGGTGCAGAGGGATTTAGGTGTTCTTCATTATTCACATAAAGTCACTTGCAGATTTGGCTCATGATCAGTAGGGTTAACGAGGACAGAGCATTGGTGAGATGACATCTCAAACACACTGTACAGTTTTGGTCTCCTTATTTAAGGAACGATGTTAATGAATTGGAAGCAGCTCAGAAGAGGTTTGCTAGATTATAAACCTAATTGAATGGGTTGTCTTATGAAGATAGTTGGGGCTGGCTGAACTTGTTTCCCTGGAGTTTAGCAGAATGAGGGGTGACATCATTGAATTATATAGATCCTGAACAGTGGGATATGGAAATGATGTTTCCTCTTATGGCTTAGTCCAGAATTACAAGGCACAGTTTATTCAAGATAGAGATTAGTTAAAGAGCAAATGAACCTGTACTAAAACAGTAGTCACCTGAAGTAGGTTACATTCTGATCCCATGCCATTGCCTTGGTTTGAACACCAATGTGTTCTTTGCTTCAGTACTCCAAGTTGTTTTCAACATTTAAAAGAATAGTCTGTTAAATTGGTATAACCTTCATTGTGTATGGATGTGCAGTGTTTGAAGATGATCTGTAACTGCAGGAATCCGGTGGCTTATGAAATGGTAGACGAATGAGCTTTTCCTGAAAGGGAATTCAGCATCTTGTTTTTCTGGTCACTACATCATACTTAAGTGAAATGAGGGAGTTTGATTTCTACAAGAACTTGATGATTGTAAATATTCATCTGGATACTACATCGGACCAAGGAAGAAGGGCACAGGAATAAAGTAAAAACGAGAACATGGAAATTGTATTTCTTAGGTCAGTGGACTCAATGTCACTGGTATCAAGCAGTCAACCAGGGAAGAGCAGTCCAGACATAGATTTTGATACCACGGAACAAAGCGCTAAACTTGTGAATGTGAGAACAGTAGACTTCAGGGATAATAGACTGGTAATAGTAGGAGATTTAATATTTAGATTTTTGTTTTACAGTCATGATGTAACATGGAATCCAAAATTGCAATAATTACTTTTCCAAAGAGCATAGCTCGTTTTTAAGCAGACAATTAGCGAAGAATAATCATTGCTTTGGTGAAATGATACCAGTAAGTGATTTTACAACCGCAGAGCAGAGCAAAGTAAAAGGGTTTTAAGCAAATACTATGCTAATCATCGGTGAGACTGTGACTGGAATCTTCTGAGTCCTGGAAATGGGGAGGAAGTGGAAGGGAAGTTTAAGTTTACAATCAAAAATATTGGGAGCAAAGCCCTGCTTATTCCTGCTGCCACTGGCAGAAACTGAGCTATTCATTGACTCACTGGAGACAGATTAAGGTAAATAACTGGCCAATTAATGGCCATCTTGCACCTCTTCTGGATTAAAGATGTCAGAATTGCTCCTCTTGCTGCATTGCTAGACTGCCTGGTTCTTCAGGCAGTCGCCCAGTGACTTCCCAAGGGGTCTTCCTTTAATTGTGCCTGATTGCACATGGAGGGGCTCCTTCATGTCAGTAGCTGACCCCACACTCCAACTGTGCTGCTGATGTTCTCACCAGGGTGCAGGCCCTGGCACTTTTTAAAAAATTCTCAACACCCTTTTGTTCTGACACAGAGACAGACAGTCGAACCAAATCAGCCTTTCTACCTTGGTATTCGTAACACAGTAAAATTAAACTGCCGATAACCCCTAAATTGTCACATCAGTTGTTTCTAATCAGATGTTTGAATAACCAGTCCTAGACTTTGTGAATAATTAATTTCTAGACACTTTTTTTTATCTTAAACAAAAGAGTTAACTATTTATTTGATTCACAGTAACTTTCGCAGAGAGAAAATTAAACAACAGGAAGCTGATCAAGCAACTCCTTGTTGCTTTTCTGAAACCTTGATTAAGGTCACCACCTTGGATCAGCCAGGCAAAGGCAGCAATACTTCTAACTCGGGTTTCCTCTCTTTGGAAGCTTACGAGCAGATGAGGCAGGGATCTTTCAAATCTTCATGCTGTCTTAGCAGCGGCCCAGAATAATCTCTTGGAAAACATAGTTCAAAAAAACAATTTTACTTTTGATTCCGCCTTGATAGACTGTTTGAGTCTTCCCGAGATCTCAATATCGTTCAACCACAATCATCTGCTTGAACATACGTCACTTCCAGACTTGCCGGAACCAATTCCCAAGTACTGACATCACAAACAATGAAAGCTTGTATGGTCTGTTCTCTTTTAGCACAAGCAGACCCAAAGTTCACAAGTCACTTCCAGCTCACAATTAAAAGTTAATAAAAGAATAAAAAAAAAAGAAAAATCAATGAGCATTCTAATGCTTTCTTTGTGTCTAATATTGCCCCTCGTCATCCCTGCAGCCTCAGCTCTGTCGGTGGCACTGTTGAGCTCTTGATTATTTAATTGGGCCAGAAGTTTGGGGAGGCAGGCTCCTGTCCCTAATGAGATCACAGTCTAGATGATGGCCTCTTCATTTGCTGCTGCTGATAAAAATCCTTAAAGTGATCTTGCCAGTCGCACACATGGGCTTAGCACCCCCATTTAGTCCCAACAGCATGACCTTGCAGTAAAATTCTGACCAGTGTCTTTTTGATATCCTGGTATATGCAGATTTATATAGGTTGGATTTTATTTTTAATGTCCGAATGTGGAAGAAGTTAATATCCTTTTTTTAAAATTCACTTGTGGGACGTATGCATCACTGGCTTTCTGGCATTTATTGCCTGTCCCTAGTTGCTCCTGAGAAGGTGATGGTGAGCTGCCACCTCGAACCTCTGCAGTCCATATGCTGTAGATAGACCCATTAAGGAGGGAATTCCAGGACTTTAACCCAGGAACAGCAATATACTTCCAAGTAAGGTTGGTGACTGGCTTCAAGGGGAACTTGTAGATGGTGGTGTTTGCATCTATCTGCTGCCCTTGTCCTTCTAGATGAAAGTGGCCCTTGGGTTTGGAAGGTGCTGTCTTAGGATCTTTGGTGAATTCTGCAGTGCATCTTGTAAGTAGTACTCACTGCTGCTAGAGTGTTGGTGGTGGAGGGATTTGATGCTTGTGATTGTCATATCAAATAAGCAGGCTGCTTTGTCTTGGATGGTGTCAAACTTCTTGAGTGTTGTTGAAGCTGCACTCGTCCAGGCAAGTGGGGAGTATTCCATCACACTCCTGACTTGTGCTTTGTCGATGCTTTCAGTTCTAAGTATAAACTTGTAACATTAATAGTTATATTCCTGCACATTCTGACGTGGTTTACAGGCTAGTTACAATACATAGCTAAATAACCATTGTATTTACAACGGCAATTCCTTTTGTTTCCAAAAGTTGATACATTCACACTAACGAGTGTGTTACTGTCAGGGAGACCATCTTTGAGATGACATGTTGAATTTAGGATCTTTCTTTTCCAAGGTAGATGCAAAAGACCAGGTGTGATTTTCCCATGCTAGTGACCAATCCAAAATATAGATGTGGCATTATCAATTAGAAAGAACTTGCATTTACAATCCATCTTTCACTATGTCAGGATGTGCTATATTGTTTCACAGCTAATAAAATACTTTTTGTGAAGTGTAGCCTCTTTTTGGTAAAGATAGTCACAATTCTGTACGTAACAAGGTCCCGCAAACAACAATGAGATGAGAGAAGTGCCCTAATAATCAATAATTTAATGTGATATTTTGGATCCACCTGAGAGAGCATACAGGTCCGCAATATAACATGGCTTCTTTCAGATTGTACTTCTGGATGTGCAACATTTCCTGTACCATGGACAGAAGTATCAAGTCAGATTATGAGCTCAAATATCTACAGTGTACCTTTTCAACTATGAAGCAAGAATTCTTCCACAGTTTCACGACTGATATCAGTTAGACTTGAGAGTAGATTTATGAAAACTTTTTCTCTAATCATTCATAATTTCTTGTGTGTCTTGTGTGTTTGCTCACCTGACAGAACTTTTGATGATGTATTGTGCACTAAAGATGATGCAAACAGCTTAGGCTTGTCTATTTTTTTTCAAGTAATAAAATGAGGTCTGTTGATCAATTTTCCAGTCAAATTTTTGAAAATTGCTCCCATATTCTGAGAAGATGATATAAGTCAGGTCTGACCAACCTGAGACTGACATCAGCGTGACCCCGAGGAGGCCTGACCAGCCTAGGCCTGATCCCCGATTTCCACCCCCGACCCCCAGCCAGACCCTGTGGAGCTCGGCTGACCAGGCCCAACTCACTTACCTATCAGCAAAGGAGTCTCGCTCCACCAGGACCCAGGACTGCCCAGGATCAGAAACGCTACCGCCACGACCTGAGGAGACCAGACTCAAACCTGAACTCCGACCTCGTGCTGTCCTGCCCCGGGGAATGCCCAGCCCAACCGGATGCGATTCACTTGCCTGCAGGAGCAGCAGACTCGCAGCACTGACTCCCCAGACCATCAGGATGGAGGAAACCTACAAGGAAACAGGGAAAACGTGCTGGTCAAAGGTGAGACTGAAACAGCATGGTTTCAAGACTCCCCTCCCCAGCATTCTCCTAGCAAATCTCCAAAAGTATCAAAAACAAAATGGATGGATTTAGATCTAGATTTACCTACCAGAGGGAACTGACTGTTGTGTGCCCTGCTTCGTGGAGATTTGGCTCACCCCGCCATTCCCGACTGAGCCCTACAAGTTGACGGGTTCTTCATACACCGTATGGACTGCATGGCGTCCTCGGGCAAGGCGAAGGGCGGTGGGGTATGCTTCCTGATCAACACTTCCTGGTGCTCAGACGTAGCGACCCTGGCAGGCCACTGCTCCCCGGACCTAGAATACCTTATACAGTAAAATGCTATCCCTACTACCTACCACGAGAGTTCACCTCCACCATCCTGAAAGCAGTCTACATTCCACCCCACATGATGTGAAGAATGCCCTAGATGAGATTTACACCACCACAAACTTCCCCGAGGCCCTATCCATTGTGGCCGGCTCTGGGTCTGCTTGGACTCAGTGGACTGGACCGTGTTCATGTTCAGTGGAAAACCTAGATGAGTGTGCCGCAACTGTCACGGACTTCATTAGTAAATATGTAGAAGACTGTGTACCAAAGAAATCAATCTGCGTGTTCCCCAACTGTAAACCTTGGATGAACCAGGAAATCCACTCCCTACTGAAGACCAGACATGCAGTATTCAAGTCGGGTGACCCAGACTAATACAGAAAATCCAGATATGACCCCCACAAAGCCATTGGGGAGGCTAAGAGGCAGTACTGGACCGCATTTAGAGGCCCAAACCTACCAAACAGACTCCCGCCATCTATGGCAAGGCCTAAACGACATTACAGGATATAAAATGGAAGTGTAAGATAGCGGACAATGACACATTCCTCCCTGACACACTCAATGCTTTTGATGCTCGGTTTGAGCAGAATACCACCGTCGTGGCAATGCCTGCCCCGACAGCCCCAGACACACCTTTTCCCTCTGTCACCGCTTCAGAAGTCGGATCAGTCTTCCTGGGAGTCAATCCAAGAAAAGTGATGGGCCCAGACGGTGTCCCCAGCCGAGCACTTAGATCCTATTGGACCAACTGGCGGAGGTATTCACTAACATCTTCAACCTCTCCCTCCTACAGGCCAAAGTCCCCACCTGTTTCACGAAGACCACCATCAACCCCCGTACCCAAGAAAACACATGCAGTGTGCCTTAATGACTATCGCCCAGTGGGTCTGACCTCAATAAATCATGAAGTGCTTTGAGAGGCTGGTCATGGCTCACATCAACTCCAGCCTCCCAAACTTCCTCGATCCCCTACAATTTGCCTACCAACGTAACAGATCCACAGAGGATGCTGTATCCCTAGCCCTGCATTCATCCCTGGACAACAAAGACACCTACGTCAGACTCCTGCTTGTTGACTACAGCTCCACTCCACCTCCAACACCATTATCCCCTTCAGACTGACCTCAAAACTGCGTGACGTTGGTCTCGGCTCCACCCTCTACAACGGTGTATTATCGGTGGACTGTTAATCCAGAGACCCAGATAATGTTCCGAGGACCCGAGTTCAAATCCCACCATGGCAAATGGTGGAATTTGAATTCAATAATTATCTGGAATTAAGAATCTAATGATGACCATGAATCCATTTTCGATTGTCGGAAAAACCCACCTGATTCACTAATGTCCTTTAGGGAAGGAAACTGCCATCCTAACCTGGTCTGGCCTACATGTGACTCCAGACCCACAGCAATGTGGTTGACTCTAAACTGCCCTCTGGGCAATTAATGATGGGCAACAAATGCTGCCTGGCCAGCGACGCCCTTATCCTGTGAATGAATAAAGAAAAAAAAAACTGGATCCTCAGCTTTCTGACCCACAGACCGCAATCAGTGAGGATGGATAACTGCACCTCCTCCACAATAACAGTCAACACTGGAGCCCCCCAAGGATGTGTCCTTAGCCCCTCCTGTACTCCTTGTACACCTACGACTGTGTTGCCAAATTCTGAATGAACACCATCTACAATTTCGCTGACAGCACCATCGTACTGGGATGGATATCTTATAACGACAAGTCAAAATACAGAAGGGAGATCGAGAGCTTGGTGACATGGTGCAATAACAACAATCTGTCTCTCAACATCGGCAAAACTAAACATCTCACCATCAGCTTCAGAAAGAAAGGATGAGAACACATCCTCATCTACATTAATGGAACTGAGGTTGAGAGGGTGAAAAGCATCAAGTTCCTCAGAGTGATGGTAACCGATGTCCTATCCCGGAATTCCCATGTAAATGCGACAGTCAAGAAGGCACAACAACACCTCTTCCTCAGATGGCTGAAGAAATTTGGCATGTCCATAAGGCCCCTCACCAACTTCTACAGATGCACCATTGAAAGCATACTGTCCAGGTGCACAATAGCCTGGTATGACAACTGCTCTGCCCAGGACTCTAGCCTCAAATAATGTAACCTGTCTGCCTCTAATACTTTTTGATCTGTACATCCTTTGCTTGCTGTATCTGCCTGTACCACTTGTAAACAAAGCTTTTCACTGTATTTTGGTACACGGGACAATAAAATCAATCCTAAGTCAAGAGGAATAGAAATAGCTTTAAAAAGTTTGGAAATTTGTTAAATTGGGAGAAAGTTTAGTTAAATAGTAAAATGTGATCAAATAAGAATTGCCAAAAGGGAAGACTGGACAAGTATCTAAGATTTATTGCATTGTAAATAGTTTAGTGTTTTTTTTGGGTTAATATTGCAATATCAAATGTACTCTTAACACAGGAGAATCTCTATTACTGGAGTAATATTTATTTAGACACCATAGAATGCAAACAAGTTTTAGAAAAATAGATGCCAAGCTCATCTCTTTTGTATACCTCAGAATCAACCTTTTCCAAATATTAATTGTGATCAATTTAATATGTTAGTTTTGATGTAAACAAAATACTTCGAAAGTTTTAAACAATATACGTTAATCAACTGTAGTGAAATTATAACTTTGCAAATCAATTATATTATTTGGATCATATCTTCTATTATATTCATTTAAGCACCTACAATGCACTTCAGGAAAGATTGATGTCTTGATGCTACCAGAATAGAAAACAAGTTTGGAAACAAACATCTAATATTTCAGACAAATGCTACACCATCTAGTTATAGCTCTAGACAGTGACATTAAATCTACTTGATTTTTAAATGATTACTTTTTTTTGGGTTCTGACAATTTCAAAGCAGCATGGAACTGATTATCCTGGAACTGCCGACTAACACATAAACAGCATTCACTTGTGCACATATTTATCCCAGAGTCTCTTTTAAAAGATACCTGTCATAGGGTGTGCCCTTGAATTATATGCTTTGGTTCAGCATTATACAATGATACATTCTTTGAAAAAGTAATCCTATGGGACTTATTAAAACTGAATAAAGGAAGTTTGATGCCATGCTCATATCCTGCCCAGATGTCAAATACAACATCCTCATATACTATACTTCAGTCAGTTCGCATTTTCATTAATGCATTCGGCAGGCATATCTCAGCATATGAACATTGCTGCTGATTAAGCCCAAGGGTACTGACAGCAGCTTTGGCGGCATCTTTGTTTATACCATTTGCTACAATTACAATCGAAAAGAGTTAGCGCAGTTATAATTGAAGATATAAAGTAATGAGCATTTTGTGCTAAAATGTAGAAACTATCAGCAGGTAATATTTCAAATTTGCACTTTCATACCCTTGACAGATAAACAAACTCTAAAGCACTGAACTTCCAGATAAATCTCCTTAACTTGGGATAAAAATGTGAAATATACCCTGATGATGTTGGATTCTGTGTATTCTATGTAGACCTATTTGATCAAGGTGTAGCAGGAGAAAAAATATACCGAAGAGCAAAGAGAGCCGTACTTCTTGCTGTTTAGAAGTGGCAGGAATATGGAGAGGTATTATGTGGGAAATTCTCCCTCTCTTGGATCTGATTGGATAAAAATGCCCAATGTTGTTGTTGTTTTGATAAGGTAATGCAACCTAGAACGAGGTACTGGATTAGCAACATAGCTGGTCATAAGTTCAACTTATTATTGCAAATTCAAGAAATTAAATTTATTGATGTTAGGAAAAAGGACCACAATAGCCGTGATTTTGTTGTTAGAAATCTAACTCATTTATCAATGTTCCTTAAAGAAAAGGAATGTTTCACCCCCTACCCACTGTAACCTATGTATGACTCCATTCTCATATTAACTTACTAACATGTATTGCCTTAAAACACTAGCAATGGGCTATGAATGTTATTACCATTTTTGTCACTGTCCTAAGAACAATTTTTGTAAAAAAAAAAAAAGTTTGATTCTCAAATCTGAAAGTTAATATATAACATTTTTGGACCCTGTTTTCAACTAGTCAGAGGGCAGTAAAAAATAATGCCTGGAATATCATGGAATTTTACACAAATATTTGTTGAAACGGCATCTGTACTAAAGCTTCAACTAAAATCAGAAGGGAAATGCAGATTTCTGCACTATTTATTTGTTATAGACAACGACAGTTTATAGGCAAGGATTTTAATTTACTAAAAACCCAAAAATTAAGTCCAGATTGTACCTGATGTATCACTGGTTTGCCTTTGGGGTGTTAATTTGTTAATATTCAAATATGCAAACTCTTCTCCAGAACTACCAATTTTAATGAACAGTATGCATGCATAACACTGTATTTGATCTCTTCGCGGATGATGTCTGGCCTGCTGAATGTCTTCAGGATTTACTGCCTTTATTTCAGGTTTTTGCCATCTTTAACATTTTCACTTTTTTGTCCCAATAACATCTGTCCCCTTTGAATCCCTAATGGTCAAAGCTGGCAGCACAATAACTGTTTAGTGTACAGTACAATGTGATTTGAGTTTGTGATTAGATCCTTACAGTCCAGTTTTTGTGCCAGCTGCTACTGTTTGTATATGTTATGGATATCATGTGGGGTTAGGATGAGA